CAACGCAAATAAAAGTTCCCCGAAGCGATTTTCGGTAATGATTTAACTCATAGTTGAATGACCACTAAAACGAGTGCCGATTCCATAATAAAGATCAATAATCACTCAAGGTGGGCATTCTTACCAAACCTATTTGAAGGAACATTCCTAAAAACTTATAATCTTCTATTATAAACTTCAAAAAATGGTCATGCTGGACAATGAAATCCACATGTGGGCTGCAGTCGCAGGTGGACGAAAAGCGCGCCGGTCCCTCGCGGCTTTTTCCCGCAAAACGCCGTGGTCGTCAATGGGTTAACAGTTCTTCTTAATTTGGTTATCGTCGTCTGAGTCGACGATAATCATCCCTCGTCGCTCTACCAGTCTGAGACGACGTTCTAAGGATGTAGGGACGCCGTATTGACATGGGGTCAAGCGGGCGCAACCTCCAAAAAGCGTGATCCCCAGGCTAGCGCAAATTACGACCATGGCGAGACGTTGGTTTATCTAAATAGTAATTACCTTTCTAACATTCCTTCCTTCCTTTTAGTTATTAATACGGGGTCAAGCGGGCGGGACCACCAAAAAGCGTGGTCCCCAGTCTACCGCAAACTACGACCGTGGCAAGACGTTGGTTTAACCCTTTAGTTATTACCTTCCTTCTCTACTTTGTTGTCTTTTAAAGCATTTTCACTGCGATATTTGTCTTCTTGTTTATTACACAACCAAACACAAATAAATAAACATATATCAATAAAACTACTGAACCACTAAGCACATTAATAACAGTAAATCTTTTTGTTTCAATTTATCAAACCTCACATCTTCTTTTTCTTCGGCACTACCCAAGTGTGTGACAGCAGTGACACGTGATCCATCGACGTCCAATGTTGTCAACACCTCTCTAGCGCCGCCATCGCATAGCCGCTCGCACGCCCAAGATTGTACCGTATTTCCACCTGCGTGCCGGCACGCACGTCGAAGTATGAAAGCAGCCACTGAGGTATCGAGATGGCATCACAGTATTACCAAGTGTCAGTGTCAAGTGTGTGATTTGCATTTGTCCATATTATTAGCTTGGCAAATAAGTCCTGCGACAAAAAATTTGAAGGGTTAAAAAATCGTATCAACAGTGTGAACATGGTAGCAAGGGTGATAAACTTGTAGGACATTTCCCGGGCAATCAACAAATGAGTGAATAAGGGCACGCGTGTGGGCTTTCGCAGCATTACAGTCAATGAATGGACAACACCCGATTCGTATCATCACCTTCTACTAAGCACTGCAAGTAAAAAACGGGGGTGTAACGGCTCGAAATATCATCAATCTATTCGATGCTAACACTGCTCCCCGATCAACGGTCAGCAATCGGTTGGATCGTTCCACTGCAAGAGATACTAGCCTTTGGGGTAACGCAAGCATCGTCCCCTAATTTAATGGATGTTGAAGGAAACCATCCGCTATGAGTTGCAAATGCAGACTGGATGGACACAGCTATCGCTTGCCCCTATGATCCCCTTTATTTGGCCAACTTGGTTAGAGAAGGACGATCAAACCGTAAATCAGGTCCCTACAGAGGGACAACGCACGCCGAAAATTCGCTTTAGACCCACGTCAAAAGTTCACCGATCCCGCTTGGTTCTAGGTCCTCATCAGTCGTACTTCCGGAGTGTTCCCCATACTAACTACCATGTGCTCGAATTTTTTGAGCCTCCCGTTGTAGAAAATAAGTTCGTAACTTAATGTGATCCAAAAAAAGGTAGTCAATTACTTCTTTGAGTCACAGCTCCATCACTCCTGAAGAGATGGCATCAGTTATTGGCTCAAGGGATAAAAGAAGGTTGTTGGCTTCTTTAGTAAATATATTTCCGGAAAGTGATTGGTATGAAAAAATTCAGAAATGATTTAAAAAAGGTCCCCAATTTGTCGCAGGAATTATTGGCCAACCTGATGTCTTCTTTTTGAGCTGACTGCCAAGCGACCAAGGACCAGAGGAGCCGTATGCCCACTGACAAGTGCGACGTCCGTCAAGTATCGCGGGCTGACCCGCCGCAAGCGACGGCTGCGGCGTGACCCAGTTTCGACGGACACGTGCAACGAAGTGCACCCACCTTCGGATGGCAGGCTTCAACGTATTCAACGTAGGGTGTAGGCAGGTTCTCCGATCTTCGCAAGATGAAAAGCACACCATTCAAACACGTTAGGCCTTACCAGATATCTTTATCCACACTAAATTTTATGAGCATCGGTAAAAAAAGTTAAGAAAATTTTGATCAATATCAACAATAGCACAATATAATATACATATCTTACTCACAAAAAGATTGCTGAACAACTAATTTAAGCGATACTACCTAAACATAGCAATTAGACACAAAAAGACCAATTCCCGTGACTGCTAATAAGAATTTCCTTGGCAAAGACAATAAAGGGCTAAGTGAGATCTAATGTTTTCAAAATAATCGAGATCAATTTCAAGAACAAGGCTAAAAGACCCGTATTCGTGACGTGTTTCCACGTACTATTGCTTATGCTTAAGACTTTCAATCTGATATTTGAAAATCACGTCGTTGATGTCTTTCTGCAACCGAAACGCCAGTTCAGAGTTCTTCGACTCCAATTCGCGAGCAGTCTCTTCTATCATACGACCTGCAAATATTTAACGATAAAGTTCTTTTCACGAGGAAGAGAATTCTCAGCTATTTTAATTGACATGAACAACTGTCGAGAGCTCATATGGTCTAGCAATTGGTGACAAAGAGTTGAACTACTTCCCCCTCAAGCTTCCATGCCTAGTAACTGGGAAGGGAGTGAATTCATGAGGACTTCCTAGAGTTTCTCAAGAAAAAGATCAACTAGCTATTATTATACCTTTGCGGTGATTACACCAATAAAAATCGGTTCATACAAGTTCTCTGCTCACCCATCAAAGTCCATTTGTCTTCATGAAGTCGGAGTGATTGGTCAGGAACAAAATCCCCATACTTCGAACCATTCATACAAGGGTGAGGAGAGGATTGTCGTAACATGTCCAGTTCACTCTTCAGAATATGGCCAATTTCGTTTTTTGCCTGAACATCATCCATTCACGACCTATTCTACTACTGCTTATTTTTGTTCATTCAACCACATAATAGACAAAATAATAACATAGAATCTTAGAATTTATTTGATGCCTTCCTCTAAAATCCGACGAATTTTAGACCAATATGGATGCCAATCTCGACATTACGTATGGTAACTTGAATTCTTGTTATAATATAATGTTATTTGTTATAATGCTTGAAACAGTGGGAGAAAAGGCCAGACGGCAAAGCGACAGATGATATGTACGCGTGAGAGCAGACCTATGAGATAAAACAGAAGAAAAAATCTTTTTTTCCCTGGCTATCTTCACAATGGGACTACTCGGGGTTTGGGCAAAGGAAATTTCCCTGTTCCCTTCCAACCAGTGTGCAAAGTCATAAAGCAGAACTGCGCCTTCTGCTCGGGCTATTGAAAAGAGAAAAATTCAAAACCAGTTCGCAAATATTTTTATAAAAAGTCAAAACTATGGCCGCAAATTGATGCACTAGGAGGGGCAGAAGTTACTAAATAAAAAAGAACTTATACGACTTTTCGAGAATGATTTGAAAAAAAGTTAAAGTAGAGAAAATTTAGTACGGCAATCCGGTTCTTATAGTGACTTTTCGATGGAATTAGATGTAAAGGACGCGAATTCCACAGGTAACATATTTCAGTCCAAAGCATAACCATGTTTCAATACGCAAACTCTCATACAGTAACAGAGACGACGCGTCGAGAAGGGACCCAGATAAGGACACCTGATGGGAGGCGGTCGTTTGGCGCGGCCCCTCGCACCCACCTTGCCATTGGGGCGCATGGGCTCGTTAATTGCCTCTTTGGCGCCGCCCATTCGACTCGGTTTGTGANTCACAAACCGAGTCGAATGGGCGGCGCCAAAGAGGCAATTAACGAGCCCATGCGCCCCAATGGCAAGGTGGGTGCGAGGGGCCGCGCCAAACGACGTACACCCCACCTGACTGATGAATTGGATAGTCACTGGGCTGTGTCGCGTCACGACTACGCGTTCCGACCGAGTCGCACGGCCGAGTTATTGTTCGAACCGGATTGCCGTACTTAGCTGAAAGTGTTTGGAAGAACCGACTACACCCAGCACACTGCTCTCCAAGGCTAGATGTGCCCTCCTCTGGTTGCTCATCTACCATCAGGAACCATTCATACATAACATGAATGCTTACAAAAAATAACCATTTGAGTAAAGCAAAGAAGAATGCGCTGGCGTACCGTGATTTGTGCTGTAGCGGTAGGTGGTGCAGATGGAAAAGGTTGCATCATCGCCTCGATAGAATCTTCACGAGGTGGAACCCATGTAGATACGACCTAAGTAAGTTATTTCAGAAACAGCATGACATCATTGACCAATGAAGAGATGTTTCAAATTCACCCGGAAAGAGACACAAAAGAAATATGTGTGATGATAACAGTGATAAATTACAAATGAATGGACATTTTAGTCAGAAAAAAACGATATAACACAGTCGAGTCCAACTCACGGACAATATGTAGTCTGTTACACAGACATTTTGTCGAAGAAGGATTGGTTCCCAGCACAGTTACCTCGCAACATAACTTACCACAAATTATGCCTTCAAGTTGATCGTTTCTCCGAAACGAACCTTTTAATTTGGACCTGCTGGGCATGCGTTTATTGCCGAGAAACAGCTGACGGATTATCTTTGCAGTGAGTTACTCACCATTNATCCCAAGTATGAAGACGATGAAGTCGCAACAGATATATGCACGCCCATTACATCCCATTACGATGACTCAAGTCTTTATGAGAAACTATTTTCTAATCCCTTTTACCCTTACATCCAGTATGCATTCGTTGAACATACATTAAACATCCGCATTGAACATCCTAATGCAATACTTCTAAGTGGGTTTTTTGAAGCAATCAATTAGTCAACCTCCCAATCACTGAATTTGTAAAGATCCTGACGAACAAAATCTGGAGAAAATCCAAAAAAGCAAATCCAAAAAGAGAAAATAAAAAATCTGAATCGCATCATTGACGTAGAATTCACTGGAATACTTTATAAACAGAAAGATACATACTTGTTGCACGTGATGAGAAGAATTTTCCCTACGAGACGGAAGTTTTGGAGTACTCGTTCTTGGTGAGATTTTTGGTCGTTTGGCTTGATTCGTTTCCATCTCCTGTTGCACTGACTTTGGCCTTAACAGAATTCATCAATTGGTACCCATTCAAAAATTAGAACATCTTTCTGAAGAAAATGAACGTACAAGTAGCCTAAAATTTTACGGATATTCGCATCGACAGCTTTTGCAATATTGTTCGTGACCATAGGTGATTGAATACCTTCAATGATCATTCAAAGCGAGCTGTGAATCGAGTAGGGTAAAATACTGACAGATCTAAATTCTCACCTCCATTCAAGTCATCGAATCTGCAGGCTGATAGTACTTCTGGCGTAAGGAATAGCATGCGCTGATAGAATTCCCAGCCGCTTACTTCTCCCTGCTTTGACTTGACCAGCTCTTCATTGAAACGGTCTTGAAGCGCATTCCATTTTTCAAACAGAAGATCTTCTAAATTTTGATATGGTTGAAAAGATAACGGCAAACCAAATGTACGGGTCAACAGTAACGCTACCCCAATGAGGAATGGTGATGGTACAAAAAAGAAAATGAAAGTAAAAATCATACCTGTTACAGTTACTTTGAGAAGCATTAATGAAAACAGGAAGGAAAAAGGGTCACAACCGTGAAAAGGATAAAGAACTATCATGACAAAGGCTAATAATGAATCTTTCCCATTATTACGTTATTTCATAAATTCAAAGTTCTATGAACTTTTTTGACGCTTGATGATAACCCCTATGAATTAATATACAAACAAAAATAAAATGAAATTCTAGCAAATACTGTTTCCACATGTTTATGTAGCCCTTTTAAAAGAGGGACGGCAAAAAGAACTACCCCTCAATACTCAAGCTCTTTACGTTTGAACCCAAGAAAAGCTCCCACATCACCACAAAAAATAAGGGCAAATACAAGATCACTAATCTATCGCTACATAATTGCAGGACAAAAAGTGAATTAATATAAATTGGAAACCGACCGTTAATGGCAGATCCACCAGGCACTATACGCAGTTTCATCGCGATTCTACTGAGATATTCCTTTCGTTTGAAAAGGTCACAATAATGAGGATGTGCATAATGCCATAGCGCCGGATGTTCTTTGAAGCTATCAATCAGCTCACAAACTATATCATATGTCCAATTCACGTCTGAAATATGTGGCTTGGGAAAAGGAGCCGATCACAGTTGAATCTTTTTTCACCCATAAAAAACAATAGATTGCATGGATTTAGGATCTCCCGGACAGATAAATTCGAAAATTTTCAGAAAACCATGTAAGGTCAACCACTGCATACTGATCTAATTATAGATATTCAACTTTAAATCGTCACTCGTCATGAAATCAGTCAATTTGAGAATATCAACAAAGCTGAGTTTAATAAACTTTGTCAAGTACACTTCAAAAGCAAATGTTCACACACAAGCGTGAAAACTATTAAAGCCCATAAAGAAACGACAAAAAGATGAACGGCACGATCGAAAACTCACCGGAAGTTGTTTCTTGTGGCTGTTCCTTTACGTTCTCGTCCATTTTCCTATTACAACTCGAAAGGAGAAACGCCAACGTAGGTTCCGCAGCAGCTTAATGGAAATCGTTGGCGGAATGGACACCAATTCAAAGATTTATTCCCAACTGGATTTAAAGTCGAACCTGTAGCAGACATATCCATTCTAGCCGTTACATTCGAGTCATTATTCTCATTAGTCTCTTGCTTCACATTTACCTCTTTAAAGAGGGGCTCTGAACAAGAACTGGATGTTTTTTAACTAAGCACCACCTAAAGCTGAATTGCAGTAAACTTATCAGTGAGTAATGAACTACCTTCATCTTGCACTGTTGAGCTTTCAGCATTTGCATCATACTTTGCTTCGGTAGATGTATTCATATCACGATTAAATACGAATTCCGGTGGCGATAGAGCGCCAATTCTTCTTGCATTCAATATTTGTCGAATTTCAGGATTTGAACCTGGATTAAACTTAATTATCAGCAGTTCAGGAAGTTTACCTTCGGAGTGCCAACAGAAAAGAGTAATGAGAAGAAAGATTTACCTGGTTCTGTAACATGTACCGATGAATTGTAGCAAATAGTCATTTCTAATCGATATGCAGCGCAACCTTTTCTAAACTTCATGCTCAGTTCGGTCTGAAACTTGACGGAATCAAAATGGGAACTTCGAAACTTTAAATATCAGAAACTTAAGGTTAGTGCCGAGACAAGTTGAGAAGCATGCAACTAAAGGTTGACTACCCTCACAGCATCTACCCTTTCGAGACATCGCCTGGGACTCGTATTTACAGCAAGATGGTGCTAATATATCCAGTGCCGCGACTTGGAAAAAATAAACCCAATGAGCAGCGAAATAGGCACCTAGGTGCATGTTTAACAACATCGGCTGAAATCGGTTCAGGCGCCTACACTAGCTAACGTTCATTAAACTGCGACTCCGTACGCACCATAAACTAGCGTGTAAAGAAATTAAAAGCAATACACGGAAAGACCCCCAGTAGAGCATATCCTAATAAGATCCTACGATGAAAGAGGATAAACAAACCTTGGATTCAATAACTTCAGCATCAGTCTCCGCATATCGAGCCGTAGCCTCTGCCAACAAATCGGGTGTCAGTGAACTGAATAGACTCAGTTTTATTATATCGGTATTGCCAACCGGTAGCTACATCTAAAAGTTCCTTACTCAATATATTGAATACCGTTCGATGGAGAGCCCATGTGGAATGACATAGCACCTTTGAACCGCCACTCGAAATGAGGCCGCTCCATAGCCCGTGTGTACATCTCCATCATCCAGCACCATTTCTCCAGCACATACCATTCTGAAAGAGTAGAGCAAGTAAATCCAAACAAACGCTGTACTTACATATACTCATAACCTCATCCTACCGAACTAAAGAACTGTATCAGGTGGTGAGGATAGTATCTGCCCACTTACATATACTCATAACCTCATCCTACCGAACTAAAGAACTGTATCAGGTGGTGAGGATAGTATCTGCCCACGATTCCAACATAGTGCAGTTTTCTGCTAGGACCTACACACTTGTATGCGCATACCAAACCAGGAAATTCCATGATATCGCAATTGGTTGACCAAACAGAAACTCATCTTCGACTTTTTGTTTCGAGCCTTGAAGCGATAGAAGGAAGTGTGCACTGTTAAAAAGGGATCCGAAGACAAATTTGCGGCACAAGTTTCAGGGGGGGGGGGGGGGGGG